GTGAGTTAAAAAATTCATCTAAAAAGATTAAAAATGGTAAGGGCACCTGGGGGTCTCAGTTTGTTGAGCATCCAACTTTGACTCAGGTCATGATCTCACAGTTGGTGGGTTTGAGCACTGCCTCCAGCTTGCTGCTGTCAGCTCAGAGCCTGCCTTGGATCCTCTGCCCCCTCTTTTTCTGCCCCCTTCACATATTCTCTCTCTCTCTCTCCCTCTCTCTCTCTCTCTAAAAAATGAATGAACATTTTTTTTACAAAATTACAAATGGATTTTTTTTTATTTTAGAGAAGGAGCATGAGAGTGTGCATGAGTGGGAGAGGGGCAGAGGGAGAGAGAGAATCTTAAAGCAGACTTCACGCCCAGGGCAGAGCCCCACGCAGGGCTCCCTCCCATGACCCAAAGATCATGACCTGAGCCAGAATCAAGAATGGAACCCTTAACAGATTGAGACCCTCAGGCACCCCACAAATGGTATATTATTTATAAAACATTTTTATAAAAGATAAAAATATAATGATGGAAAAGAGATCATTGGTTACCAGGAATTAGTAACAGTGGCAGAAGTGGAGGTGGGAGGTGTCACTATAAGGGGACAGCTGAATGGAATTTTGTGGCAAGGGAATAGATCTATTTAAGGTTGAGGGTTAACAGAATGGAATCACTGAAATGGTGCAATATGCAGTAAAAGGAAAAAAAGCAAAAATACAAGAGAACGATGAACAGACAGTTGGAAATTTGCAATAAAGTGAGGAATAACAGTAACTAATTTCTCTCCCTTTGGGAAAAGTAAAAACAATAAGAGCCACCAATCAAAGAAGCAGCATCTCATATTTGCATAATGTATTCTTTTGATTCCCTAAAAACTTAAAAATAAGGTCATAGGACGGTGTGTAAACACTTCTCCGCTGCGCTATTCATTTCAAGAGACCATTGTGAAAATGCAGATTCCTGTTGGGATGCCCTATAGATATGATATTTTAATCAAGAGTCCCATGTATACAAAAGGAAAGGTAACCAAGAGTAAAAAAATGGAAGGAAGGAAGGAAGGAAGGAAGGAAGGAAGGAAGGAAGGAAGGAGAAAGGAAGGAAGGAATTCAGAAAGGAAGTCAAAAAGAAAGAAAAGAAAGAGAGAGAGAAAAGACAATAAATACACATTTTCTCTGATAATTAAAGAACAACCTCCAGACATTTTGTTATGCTCACAAATACTTTTGGGATAATCTCCTCAGGGAGAGTCTCAAAAGCTGAAAAAAAAAAGCCATAAATTGCTCTCAATATGCCATGTAAGAAACACAGGAGGGAGTCAAGACAGAGGCTTCATTCCAGGTAAAATGATAGAAGATTTCATGGGGCATCTTATGTTACCAACACCAACAATGATCAAGTGACGTAGGAAAAGTTCGGCTTTAATTCAATAGCAAAGCTGTAGCAACAAGTTGCCGTTTATGTTTTAGTATTTTTTGTTTGGTTGGGGGGATTTTGTTTTGTTCTGTTTTCATTTTTGCTTTTATTACTCCATAATGCCTAAGCAGGAATAGGATGCCTACCCTTTTCTCTTCCTACTGTGCGAGTATTTTTACCTGGATCGACAAACTATTCATGGAAACATCACGCTATTGCTTACAAAATATTCATTTTACAGAATTAATTATATCTCCAATGCAAACCAAAACAGAGATCAAGTGAAGCGTAACTAAAGAGATACTCGTTTTTAAAACTGGACAAAATTAAGAGGCCGCAGGTGCTCCGTCTTTCGTTTTGAGGTCCTTCCAAACTCTTATTTAGTGACCCCAGGCTCTTTTTTGTGACCCTTTCCATACAACTTAAGATTTAGTGATTATTTAAAGAAAAATATAAATATGATTCTTTCCAGATCTCTTGATGAGACAGGAAAGGGAGAGAGGGTATTCTACCTCACGCTGACATGTGAAAAGCATTATTTGGAGACTTGCAGACTTTCAGGTACCCCATTTTATGGTAATGATACGGTGTTCAGCATGTGCTTCAATGTGAATGGAATTTAATGGGAAGCAGATATCATTATCTCAAAGAATACAGTTTAAAAAAATAACAATTGGTATTCAACAAAAATGTTACACTGTGAACAATTTGGTCCTTTCCCTAGAACTCTAAAACTTAGAGAAAAACAAAACAAAATGAAACAAAACGTGTTGATCTTTCCTTACCTTAGAGAAAACTTGGAACATACCAAGTATGCTTTTTCTTAGTCTTTCATATTTTTAAAACGAAACAAAACAAACAAAAGTTAAGATTGATACCACGCCTTATTGAATTTGCAGAAGATATTTTTCTAAAATTACTATCGACTGATACATGCTTCCGTCTTTATGATGGAAGAAAGGTGTGTGCATCAGGGCAAAGCAGGTTATCAGGATGTCACAATATTAGCAGCAATATTTTAAATGAGTTAAGTGCAAATTTTATGTACCCATTTTTTATCTAATGTTTTATTTACACTTGTATGTTTTTATTTTCGTATAGATCAGAGACTGCTGTAAGTATGTAATGTAACTACATTATAATGTATCGATTATGTCACAATGTATGTTTCATTATATCTAGTATCATTTCTATTTTTTTTTCTTAAGGAAGTATTCATACTGGCAATATTTTAAATTTAATACTTCTCTTGCCTTAATCTGCCATCCCCTTCTTACTGTTATATTCCTAATCTGTATATTGTTAGGGATATTTAGTTACATTTTTATTTGGTTAAAACGTATATCTGTGTTTTGTGTTATATTATAGTTTGGAGAAGTTCCTGTGGCCTTAAGGTCTAGAAGAACTTAAAGGAATATCAAAGAATCCATGTATATCTCATCTTTAGTGCATTTAATTCACCTCCATGGGAACTTTAAACAGTTTTTTAAAGTGCAGTGTCTCTTTATCCAAGGGAGTTTTTTTTTATGAATCTTTATTATATGAAAACAATGCCCACGGCTGCTCATTCTCCCAATGGGCCCAGATTTCCTCATCTCTTTGGGTTCTCGCATGATGAAGTGTATTTGATTTGTCACGTGCATGTTAGTACATGACTGTAATTGACATGAAAATGTTCCTTGGGGAAGATTACTTTTTTTAAGAAAATTTATATCAAAAGAAACTTATTTTTATATTTTGTCAAAACAGTTAAGGAAATTAGAAGACAAGTAATTAAAAGAATAGCACCTTGACTGTCCAATATAGTTATGGAGAAAGGGCTCAGGGTAGGGCCTGCATTAAGCTGCATTTGATCGTACTTGACCTATTCTGCACCTGTTCATCCTCATAGCATGGACAAAGAAGATATTTCATAGTCCAGAAGAGTTTACATACAAATATGTGATGAGACCTGCTTTGAGCTAAGTTAGTGCTACCATTAAAAAAAAAAAAAAAAAAAAAAAAAAGAAAGAAAAAAAAAACTGGGGCATCTGGGTGGCTCAGTCGGTTAAGTGTCCAACTGTTGATCTTGGCTCAGGTCATGATCTCATAGTTCATGAGTTTGAGCCCCACACAGAGTTCTAGTCCGATGACATGAAGCTTCCTTGGCATTCTGTCTCTTCTTCTCCCTGTCCCTCCTCTATCTCTTCCTGTCTCAAAATAAATAAATAAACTTAAAAAAATAATACAAGCAAACAAACACGACGTACATGATTTTCAAGTAGCATCAGCACAGTGAATCATTCAATTTTCATTTATCCCTCTCAAGAGCCCTACGCAAGGAAGTATTGTTTTGTATATGAGAATAAAGAGTTTTAGCTAAGTTAGATTACTGGCCCAGAGTAACCCTCATATATGCCATCAGTGGAAGTATAACAGACCTTATCTATATAAATCTACCTCCTATATTTATGCCACAAAGACAAATAATTCTGAGCTGTAATCCATTATAGTTTTTTTTTTAATTTATACACGTGCCCACACACACAGTGCCAATTGTGACAACCGTGTCAGCCTGTATCACCTGTAGGTGTAAAGGATTTTATGGGAATATGTATCGAAGTAGTGGGTTCTGTATATTTTTGAGAATTGGGGATTTTAAATTTTTATTGTATTTATTATATAATTGTATAACATAATTGATTATATATTGACGTGTATATTAAGTTATAGTATTAACTACAATTTATAAATGTCGCTGTGTAATTGCAATTATATCAACGACTAATTGAAAACTTTAAAACATTGTACCGTATGGTTTCTTTTTTTTTTTTTAATTTTTTTTTCACCCTTTCTTTATTTTTGGGACAGAGAATAGAGCATATGTGAACAGGGGAGGGTCCAGAGAGGAGGAGACACAAGAATGGAAGCAGGCTCCAGGCTCTGAACCCATCGGCCCAGAGCCTGACATGGGAGGCTTCAAACCCACAGACCCAGCAATTGTGATGACTAGCTGAAAGTGGGGCATATTCACCCGTCATACCAAGCGCCCCCTGTACCGTATGGTTTCTATGTGTTACAGTCAAATTTTTAACATAGTTTTGATTTAAAAAAATTTTCCTGTGTGTACCTATGTCTATATCTATATCTGTATTTATATACGTATATGTTTTTGTATCTACCTATGTACCTATTTTTCTCTCTCTTATTTATCTACTTATCTATCTATACCATCCTGGTCTCTCAAACTTGGCATTATTGCTATTTCTAACTGAATATTGAATATTGCAGGCTGTTTAGAAACAAAACTGACCTCTAATCATCACAAGCCCATAGAGCCCCACCTTCCAGTTGTGACAACCAAAATGTCTTCTAGATATTGATAAAACGACATTCGGTTACAAAAAAATTGCCTCCAGTTGAGGACCACTGACTGTCTATGTTTATGTTATACTAGCCTTGGGGGAGATGGCTGCATTTTCAAATATCTGAAATTGGAAAGTTTGGATGTATTTTATTTACATGAGTTTTGCATACTAAAATTCACCCAGGTGATAGTACATGAAATCTACTGACCATGCTGATATCTCTATCCAGAATAGGTTTCCTGATAAGTCTGCATGGAAACACATAATCTAACAATGATCAATGAATTCATTCTCATGGGAATCACAGACCGTCCTGAGCTGCAGGCTCCATTATTTGGGCTCTTCCTCATCATCTATATGATCTCAGTGGTGGGCAACCTGGGCATGATCATCCTCACCCAGGTGGACTCCAGGCTACAAACACCCATGTACTTCTTCCTCAGACACCTGGCTCTCACCGATCTGGGTTATTCAACAACTGTAGGACCCAAAATGCTGGTCAATTTTGTTGTGGATCAAAATACAATCTCCTATGATTTTTGTGCTATACAGCTCACTTTCTTTCTTGTGTTCATTGTTAGTGAACTTTTTATTCTAACAGCAATGTCCTACGACCGCTATGTGGCCATCTGTCACCCTCTGCGCTATCCAGTCATCATGTCACAAAGGGTGTGTCAGGTGCTGGTGGCCATCCTCTATCTCTACAGCACATTTGTGTCTCTTATAGTCACCATAAAGATTTTTAGTTCGTCCTTCTGTGGCTACAATGTCATTAGTCATTTCTACTGTGACAGTCTCCCCTTGATATCTTTGCTTTGCTCAAATACACATGAAACTGAAATGATTATTCTGATTTTAGCCGGTTTTGATTTGATTTCATCCCTTTTGATAGTTATTGTGTCTTACCTCCTGATCCTTGTAGCCATCGTCAGGATGAACTCAGCTGAGGGTAGACACAAGGCTTTTTCTACCTGCGGGTCCCACCTGACAGTGGCCACAGTGTTTTATGGGACTCTGATATTTATGTATGTGCAACCCGAGTCCAGTCATTCCTTTGACACTGATAAAGTGGCTTCCATATTTTACACCCTTGTTATCCCCATGTTGAATCCCTTGATCTATAGCTTGAGGAACAAGGATGTAAAATATGCAGGACAAAGGATGTGGAAAAAAATATGTATTTTTTTTTTCTTAAAATGCACTGTCTAACATGATTCCTATAAACTAGCTTATGGACTTTAAATTTTTCTCTCTGTGCCTCCGAAGAAAAGAGGAAACACAAATGCGTTCAACATATTTGAAGACAGTTTATAGATTGTCTTATGTATGCTAGGCACGTCTGACTGTTGTAAATTGATTTGTGAGCAAAATAGTAAAAAACGTTGCCTGCCTTCCAAGAGAAAGGTGGATTGTGTATGTAAATCAAGTAAATATTATAGTACAGTAGAATGTGTTAGATGGATATACACACAGAGAGACACATAAACACAAAACTATCAAGTCTTTCTGTGTCTTTCTCACCTATATATTGTAAAAATGCAGTGCCTATGTGTGTGTGTGTGTGTGTGTGTGTGTGTGTAAGTCCTTTCCTTCTGTGTTAGCCTTCAAACTCTTCCCTGGTATGTTTTGGAATTATTTTAATACTGGTTGTTTCTGTGATATCTGATGATTTGAAGTATTGGGTCATAGTAGTGTGCTCAAACACCTTTATTACAAGCATTGAGATTCCCCTTTCTTCTCCTCAATTTATGAGTCTATTGGCTGAACATACTTGGCAATCCAGCAATCTGAGTGGCCCGTGGTTTGTCTCACAAAGCCCCTTTGGTTGATATCTGAGGATATTCAAATTAAGATAAAGTTTTGAGGGCTCCCTAGTTTGTGCTTTTTCCCTCAACTGGTTGTTCTCAGTAATCTGGCTTGTTGGTTTAGTATATTATAATATTGCCTTATCTTTTTTAAGAAAAGTAATTACCCATGTTTAAAAAATATGTTCCACTTGTTTTTGTATCCTTGAGTAAGAGGACTATTCTACAATGAATTAATTGTATTGCTTCTCTTTTCTTGGATTGATGTTTCCCAAAATTTATCAATACTTTTTATGCACCATATGTTAATGGACTATCACCATTTACCTGCATTGATTGATTCTCTTACATGTGGGAAGCAAAGGGAAATGAACAATCCTGTTTTTGCACTCTGCCGTACTTCCTTTTTTTTAGTATTTATTTATTTTTTGACAGAGAGAGAGAGAAAGAGAGAGAGAGAGACAGAGCATGAGCAGGGGAGGGTCAGAGAGAGAGGGAAACACAGAATCTGAAGCAGGCTCCAGGCTCTGAGCTGTCAGCACAGAGCCTGAAGCGGGCCTCGAACTCACAGACTGTGAGATCATGACCTGAGCCGAAGTTGGCTGCTTAACCAACTGAGCCACCCAGGCGCCCCAAACTCTGTCATACTTCTAAGGTGAATGAGGATGGATACATGGCAAGGACACACAGATCTTGCCTCTCATGCATAGGTAATCTATGTCACTCCACACTTTCCCATGTGCTTATTTTTAATTTCCCCTTTGCCTACTTTTATTCTTCTTAGTATTTCTGGGATTTTACTGAAATTAGGAGTTAATGATAGTTGCTTTGGTCACCATGATGCAATAAAGTCTCTGTTTAGCCAATGGACATTGAATAAAATAATTCATTGGAATAAAATTTAAGAAGTGCATGATCATGGCACTTGCTCTGATAAGCATTGGGTGTTATATGTGAGTGATGAATCACTAAATTCTACTCCTGCAACCAATATTACCCTATATATTAAGTAGCTAGGATTTTAATAAAAACTTGAACCAAAATTTTTAAAAAGTAAAAAAAAAAAGGAAAAGTACATAATGCAAAACAATCAAGATGCCCTTCCGTAAGTATATGGGTAAGTAAACCATGACACATGCAGACAATGGAATATTATTCAGCACTAAAAAGAAATGATCTATCAAGTCACAGAAAGATATGGTGCAACCATAAATGACTGTTGCTAAGTAAAAGAAGCCAATCTGAAAACACTACTTACAGTATGATTCCAGCTCTACGACACTCTGAAAAAAGGCATAACTATGAAGACAGTACAAAGATCAGTGGTTGCCAGGAGTTAGGGAAGAAGAAGGGATGAATAGAGGAAGAGAGAAAAACTTTAGGGCAGTAAAACTATTTTGTATGAAAGTATAATGGCGGATACGAGATGTTATAGATTTGTCTGAAGCAATATAAAAGTACAACCCCAAGGATGATTTGTAATATAAATGATAGAGTTTCAGTGAAAATGATGTATCAGTGTAGGTTCATCAAATGTAACAACTGTACCTCTCTACAGGGGAATGTGGATAATGGGACATGGGGAGGCTATGCATTTGTTGGGACAGAGAATATATGAGAAATCTCTGTACCCTCTTAAGTTTACACTAAACCTAAAACTTCTCATAAAAAATAAAGTCTCAAAATAGAAAAAAACTATATTGCATAATACAGTATCATGTGAGGATCAATTTTATCAAACTGTTGATGTCCTTAAAAGGAATCTTTGTGATGGTCATAAAGACTTGTAGGTAATATTATCTCATCTTTGGGTACTGTATGACAGGCATTCTTCACGTCTTGAATTTTGTCCTCACAACAGCTCTGTGAGATAGATTGTATTAGAATTTTTATTTTTTAATTTATAAAATGGTGATTCAGAGGGGTTAAGTAAGCTGTCAGAGTCCACAACTCATTAGGTGTTAGAACCAGGCTTCAAAGCTGGGTGGTCTAGTTCATTACTAAGGTTTCATGCCCTTAAGACGTACCCTTTATTGTCTCTTAATGTCATTTTTATGTTTCACTGATGTCATCCCAGAGATGACAGAGAGTAAAATTTCCCGTAAGCTGATGTCAGACTAGAAAAGGAGAAATAGCAGAGAGATTCATAAAATAATGGAAGCCACGTCTGCACAGAAAAAGAATTCAAGAACGATAAAATCAGTTAATTATAAATAAATGAACTGACTCACAGTAATTAATTAATTAATTAATCAGGCATTTGGGGTTTTTTTAAATGTTTATTCATTTTGAGAGAGAGAGAGTGAGAGAGAGAAAGAGGGGGGAGGGGCAGAGAGAGGGGAAGTAAAAGAATCCCAAGCAGTCTCCACTGTCAGGCCCAGACCCCAATGCAGGAGTCAATGTCACAAAACCGTGCGATTATGACCTGAGCCAAAATCAAGAGTTGGATGTTTAACTGATTGAGCCACCCAGTCGCTCCTAATCAGGCATCTCGTAAGGGTGATTTTGCTCAAATAGACAGCCATAACAAAGTGAATGCAGGACAAAGCCTGAGCAAATCTCTAATAAATTGGAGGAGGGCAAGAATTAGCATTAAGTTATCAGAAACATCCTGAAAAGAAATAAACAAGGAGGTTTATATTTTTATATTTATGTTCAAAGTTTGACTCCTTTTGAGAAATAAAAGGTAAGGAGAAGCAGAATTACAAAAAAAAAAAAGCCAAATGTCATTGTTAGTGACTTGTAGTAGGAATTCTGCCAGGGACACTATAAGAGATAGAT